ACCTCCTCCCCCCCCAGCGCCACCACCACCACCCTTGCCCCCCTTGCCCTTGCCGGTGCGGCGCCTCCCACCAGGAGCAGAAGCAGCGCCAACAGACTCAGCACCAAGGAAGTCAACAGCAGCAGCAGCAGCGTAGGAGGGAGCGAGGGGAGAGGGAGAACACCCCTCAAAGATGGGGGTGCGAGGAGCGCCACGAGCAGCACCGACAGCTACAATGCTCTTTTCGGCCGCGAGCAGCTGCTCCTCTAGGAGGGCGACTGTGAGCTCAGTGGGACAGCGAGCAAGGAAGTGGTCTCGAACTGAGCGGAGGGTGTCAGGGAGACGGGTGACTATGAAGTGGAGTGTCCAGTACAGTGGAGGGGGGTTCTTAGCGCAGAACTCGGTGGGAAGGGCGGCACGCAGGCGAGCATCACTAGTGCGAAGGTGGGTGATAAGATCGGCGACTGTAGTAAAGGTGGACAGATCGGGGAACAGGTACGGCAGCATGAGGCGGCTAAGCTCGGCTGTGGCAGGCGAGGAGTAGCGAGCAACGACAGCATCGTACAGGGCCTTAGCGGATTTGCAGTCGCCGAAATGCTCGAGCTCAGCTAGCGGCAGGTGACTGCGAATGGCTAGGCGAGCAGCTGCGTCACGAGTCTGCCAGTGGGAACGAACACTAAGCTCGGCTGTGGCAGCAGGAGCAGCGGCAGCACCAGACGCGTAGTCATAGAGGGAGATGTGGTCCGTGCTATTGCTCATAAGATACAACTGCAGGTCGTCGAGCCAGGAAGTGAACTGCACGGGACGGCCCTCAGCATCGAAGGAAAGAACGCGAATAGAGGCCATAGCTCAGGCGTGAGGGCACAGCAGAGCAGCGGCAGCAGCAGAGGGGACGCGCTAGAGCGAAGCTAGCAGCCACAGCAGGAGCAAGCGGCGGTGCACAGGCAGGGAGCAGCAGGCGAGAAGCGCGGCGGGCGGGCTGCGAAGCGGGCAGCGGGGCGGGCGGGCGACGCAGCAAGCGGGCAGTGAGGCAGCGGGCGACGCTGCGAAGCAGGTAGCGGGCGGGCGGGCGGCGCTGCGAGCGGGCAGCGAAGCGGGCGGGCCGCGAAGCGGGCAGCGAGCGGGCGGGCGGGCTGCGAAGCGGGCAGCGGGGCGAGCGGGCTGCGAAGCGGGCGGGCCGCGAAGCGGGCAGCGAGCGGGCGGGCGGGCTGCGAAGTGGGCGGGCCGCGAAGCGGGCAGCGAGCGAGCGGGCTGCGAAGCGGGCGGGCCGCGAAGCGGGCAGCGAGCGGGCGGGCGGGCTGCGAAGCGGGCAGCGGGGCGAGCGGGCTGCGAAGCGGGCGGGCCGCGAAGCGGGCAGCGAGCGGGCGGGCGGGCTGCGAAGCGGGCGGGCCGCGAAGCGGGCAGCGAGCGGGCGGGCGGGCTGCGAAGCGGGCGGGCCGCGAAGCGGGCAGCGAGCGGGCGGGCGGGCTGCGAAGCGGGCAGCGGGACGAGCGGGCTGCGAGCGGGCGGCTCGGCGGGCGGGCGACACTGCGAGGGGCGCGCGAGGGCGCTAGTGAGGGGCGCGCGAGGGCGCTAGCAAGGGGCGCGCGAGGGCGCTAACGAGGGGCGCGCGAGGGCGCTAACGAGGGTGCGCGCGAGGGCGCTAACGAGGGGCGCGCGAGGGCGCTAACGAGGGCGCACGAGGGCGCTACGAGGCTAGGGCACGGGGTAGCGTGGTAACCGCATGCGAGCGGTGGTGGGCCCTTAAAAAAAACGGTCGGTAGGTCCTAGGGACCTCCTGCTCTGATACCATGTCAAAGTAACTAGGCAAGAATGAATGAACTAGCAGAAGTTTGGGTACAAATATGAAACCCTAGTTGGGGTTGTACCCCATATTGGCTACCCCACTACAGCCTACAAGCATAATACAGTTTAACACACTTTATTCTTGTTTGTTTTCAATTGCTATTCCAATTGTTTCAGTTCAGATTGCACTAACGCGTTCGCTATGTCATACTTTGCCATCTATTATCACATTCTTTTACGTTTGATTACACTTCGTTTCAAACATTCTATCATTTCTACATTAACTGCTTGTCCACATTCTCTTTGTCACAGATATTTTACCTCAAACATTTCTTTACAACCTTGTACTCTCACTCTTTCTGTCGATTTATTGAACTATAACGTTCGCATAAACCTCATCTACAGTTGGAAAGTCTGCTCGCAGTGGTGTTCGTGCTATGGTGAGTCTTAGTGCTCTCAAGAGTGGATTGGACAAATTCAGCATTGCGACATGGACCGCCGCTGCAGCTGATGAGAAAAAGGAGATCTTGTCGGGCTTGCTCAGCAAGCGATGGCAAATTCAGGTGACCCTTAGCATTGCAAAACTCTACTATATCTTGTGATTTTCTTTCAAACGTTTGTACTGCTTGATTTCAATGTGAATCGCCGGGTTGTTATTTTGGTTTCCTTGATATATTAGATGTTCTCTCTAACTGCAGATGGTCACAAAGGCAGCTGGAAACAATTTTGAAAGAACAATCACATCGTTCTCGCTGTTGTCTTCAAATGTGAGTGCATTGTTTATTACTTGGCAATCAAAGTTCCGAGCCTATATGTTGCAAGTACATTCATTTTGATATTCCGAGCTTATAAATGTTACTTATACACTTCTATCAATATACCCTAGATTCATTTTCATTAAACATTGCCTTTTTTTTTCTCCCTTGCTTTTCTTGTTCTATTAGGACGGGCATGAGGTATCCATGAACGAAAACAACAAGCGCACAGCGACAACTGCTCCTTCAAGTGTTCCAGCAACACCAGTGAAAATCAATCAGCGCCGTGGTGGTCTTGTAAGTTACAAGCTATTGTTTTCTACTGCTATAGTTTTTTACTTAATTGTTACATTTTATTGTAGTTTGGTTTTTTTGTCGAATAGTTCGTTGTGTTACATGTTTGTTCCCCAAACATCATACGATGTTTGACTAATTTATCATATCCCTTTAATTGGGTAACCTAATGTACTAGTGACATTTTCTCAACAGATTCTCAAGCAACACCTTTTTTTTTGTTTTTTTTTTTTCATTTGCAGCGCATGTAAGTTCGACTGCCTCATGCTCTGACGACGGAAAACACGAGGAAAAGAAGAAAGCGAAGGCGTGACAAGGAGGGGAGAGGAAATGGATAGCGGAAGGGGAAGAGGAATGCGTATTTACACTGCTTTAAACTTGATCGTAGATTGTGACAGGGTTTGTTTGCTACTTACAACGTCTCGTTAAAAATGCGTGTGTTGTCATGTTATAATAACAACTGTGCTTGCGTGGTGTTTGTGTCAGTTATGTGCGTATGCTTTTTTTTTTCTTGTTTTGTTTGTTGCGCATATGTGCATGTGTCTGTTTTGGGATGTGGTGTTCGTGCCTGTTTCGAGGTATGGTGCTAAATGCCTCGTGTAAGCAACTGGGGTTGTGATCGTCGGTGGGGCAGCTTTGCTCGCCTCTTCCGTACCATATCAATCTCAGTTGCTGCATTGATGCATTTAGCATTTGCGTATGTTTTCCTAATCACAATCACAATAATTGTCCTATGTTTTTGTACAAGTTTGCGTGGTACCCGTCTGTGCTTGTTTCGGAGTATAGTGCAAAGTGCCTCGTGTATGCAACTGGGATTGTGATCGTCGGTGGGGCAGCTTTGCTCGCCTCTTCCGTACCATATCAATCTCAGTTGCTGCATTGATGCATTTAGCATTTGCTTCAAAGCATTCTTAAACGTTGTCTTCACAATCACAATAATTGTCCTATGTTTTTTTACAAGTTTGCGTGGTACCCGTCTGTGCTTGTTTCGGGGTATAGTTGCATTTGGGCATTCACAATCACAATAATTGTCCTATGTTTTTGTACAAGTTTGCGTGGTACCCGTCTGTGCTTGTTTCGGAGTATAGTGCAAAGTGCCTCGTGTATGCAACTGGGATTGTGATCGTCGGTGGGGCAGCTTTGCTCGCCTCTTCCGTACCATATCAATCTCAGTTGCAGCACTGATGCATTTAGCATTTGCTTCAAAGCATTCTTAAACGTTGTCTTCTGTTTTTTGTAATCATTTGTGTATTATTTATGCGTTGACGTCCGTGCTTGTTTCGAGGGTGTGGTGCTAAGTGTCTTGTGTATGCAACTGGGATTGTGATCGTCGGTGGGGCAGCTTTGCTCGCCTCTTCCGTACCATATCAGTCTCAGTTGTTGCATTGATGCATTTAGCATTCCCTTTACGACGGTCTTGTACACCATCGTTTTTGTGGTCATGTGTGTATGTGTGTCTCTCGGTGGTAGTGTAGTATTTTTGTTGTGTTGTCCTTTGTGTGCGTGTGTCATTGGGTATCATCTTTAGTGCTAGAACGATTCTCCAATTGTTCCATTCGCCGTACTTATCGACGATTATGGAATGATTGGAAACATTCTTTTTCACCTTTTTGGGGAAGCTATGTGAACAGTGATTACCGACCATGGGGGACTAAAACGCGCATCAGGTGTACATTCGTTTTCACTTTTCGGTTGGCTGATGTGAACAGTGATTTCTTAAAAAAACACTGTTCACATGAGCCAACCGAAAAGTGAAAACGAATGTACACCTGATGCGCGTTTTAGTCCCCCATGGTCGGCTTGTGCTTTGGGCTTATATCCGATTTCTGCAATTCGCGCACTTCGTTAGGGTTCGTCACGGGTTCGATGTGCTTGTATCAGGCACATGTTGTAACATGCTTGTCCTTTCCTCAACAGAAATGGGGTGGCGTTTGTTGTTTGACTATCGTAGGCTGGGTTACCAAGATTTTCGCCCAACTCAAACACCTACCATTTCATTCCACATTCTCGCTTGTCACAAACATAACATTGTCAAACCCACCCAATAACAACGCACCACCTGTACCCCACCCCACCCCCCCACAAATATCCTCGACAATGATACAAAGCATAGCAAATGTGCACAAGGGGTACACAGAACGCATTCGATGAGGCAATTTCTAGCCTCCAAGGGATCAAAGTCCCCTCTCACAGCCGCATCCACTCTGCGGCTGCCAGGTACCCGCTCATGAGGGCGGGAGCACCGGCGTCAATGAGCTCCTGGCGGCGGGCCGTCTGAGCCACCCAGTCCGGGGTGGGCACGTGCATCCACGCCGGCAGCACCCTGCCACGGCGACGAGGGGTCTCTGGCGGCGGGGTGTCCGCGTGAGTCATGGCGGGGGGGGGGGGGGGGGGGGGGGGGGGGGGGGGGTTGTTGAGATCAAGCGCGGGGCTTGCGCACTCCATGCGCGCAACGATGATGGGGTTTCGAATGTCGAAAAGGGCGCAAAGGTCGCGCGGGGTGATGCACGTCGCCCACGCGTACCCGATCAACATTTCGCACGCCGCGCGCGCGGTACGACGAGCCTCGCGAGAAGCGGGGTTGCTATCATCGTACACCTGCTGCATGGTCGCCGGCGCCTCCCACATAGCCGCCGCATCGCGGGGCAGCGGCTCGCGCGCGAGGGGATCCTCGCCGGGTTCGGCGCACGTGGGCTGGTTGTCGTCAATCCACACGAACGCCTCGGCCGACAATGCGCTTGGTCCGAGGCAGAGCCGGTCGATGAGGAGGCCAACATCGTTGACCTCCTCGTCGAGGCCGATCTCGGTCCCGTCCGCGCCATCGAGGTTGGTCCGCCGTTGTTCCGCGGGGTTGCTTCCACGTGAGGGAGGGAGAGTGCCCAAACGAGCGGGAGGCACCCCGTGCGCCACCAACAGCGCTGGATGGCGCGCGGGGGAAGGTTCATCCACGCGTCGTTTAACCACTCAACCACGGCCCGCATGTTGGGCCTGAAGCGAGCAACGGCCGACGTGGCACCCTCTGCCGTCCACGTGCGGGTGAAGGCACGGAGCCAGTGCTGCCGGTACCGTGTCTTCGCCATGGAGATCAGCCCTTGGTCGAGCGGCTGAGTGAAGCAGGTCGTGTTTGGCGGCAAATACACCAGCCGCACGTTCCCCAGGGCCACGGTTCGGAAACCGAACAGGTCTTTGGTCACCGCGCCTTCAGTCTTGAGGGTGTGGCTGCTTGCATTGTCGAGCAGCACCACTATCTTCTTGCCCTCGGCGTACATAGTAGCGTCGAGCTGCTCGATGTAGTGGGTAAACAGCTGCGCGGGGTGGGGGGGTGGACGGCAAAAAACAGAGAGCGCAATGTTAGAGCGGGCCGATGGGGTGTAGCATGCACATTCATACGATTCACGGTGTATGCCGACGGCTTATGACTTACATTGCTAGTCATCCACCCCTTGGCGTTGTGGCGCCAGTAGACATACTCCTCGGGGTTGTAATCGGGGCGGAAATCGTGAGGCCGCTTTGACTTTGAGATGACCAACGGCTTGAACACACGGGTACCGTCGGCGTTGACGAGAAAGCCGACGGTAAGACGTTGCTTGGCGATCTTGCGGCCGGCCGTGCGCACGCTACCGTAGGTTTTCCGTGGCAAAATTGAGATGTACAAAGCGGTCTCGTCAAAGTTGAAGGTGAGGCTCGGAGTCACGGCCAGGTGCATAAGAAGCTGCGGAAACTTCTCCTTGGTCGTCCTCACGGCATTCATGTCCTGGTCGGCAGCCTCGCCGACCGCGCTCATGCAGCGAACGCCCTGACGACGCAGCGCTCGACGAACCCATCCGATGGAGCAGCGAAACGTTGGCGGGGCGCCGTTAGCCTGAGCCATATTCGCGACATGGTCGCGAATGGTGGCAAGAGTGAGCGGGACACCCGCTGGTCCCGCATTGGCGATCCAGCGGGCCATCGCGCGCTCGAGCACCGGATACGCTCCCCACGAACGCGAATGTTGTCGGCGTCGGCATCAGGGCGGACCCAACGGTCGGCGCCCTTAAGAACGCGACCGATCGTGCTACGTTCGGGGCGTATGCCGAACCTGGTGAAACACCACCGGGAGAGGTCAACAGGGCGCAGGTGAGGATTGGCGACGGGGTGCTCGCAAATCGCGCGCTTAATAGGCAGTCCAAGCTGCGTGCGGTGGTATAGGCGCGGCATGGTTTCTAGCTGTGAATGTGGAGACGAATGAGTTTAGTGTGGCATGTTGAGGCTTTTTATTCTTCAATCTCGTCAGACACACGAAGTGGTTGGATCATCGGGCTTTGAAAGTGTTGTGTCCAGGCGTGCTTCAAAGCGCACGCATCAGGTCGTGCTTTGAAACCAAAGGAAACCCGGTAACAACAGCCATGCATGGTGACGTGTACTTGCTGCTTATCGTGCGGACGGGAGTGGGTCTGTATCGAGCAGGTGCAAGTTCCACATAGGGTCATGAATTTGCCCCTGGTTTGTTTGGCGCACCTTGACACAGCTTACGTGTCATGTTGATGTGCGCGATGTGGGCACGAATGCTTGTGTGGTTTCGCACACAAACATTCGCGATGTTGACCCTGGCCGGAAACCTGGAGGGCCAGGGTGTGTCTTGTTTGTTTTTTCGTCTGAATACATCTCTGGTTGTATCTGTGCAACTCGGGCAGGTAGTCCAAAGGTGCGTGTATCGTGGGTGCAGCCCCAGGGCAAAAAACCCACGGGTGCAGGGATTCCAATTGGTGCAGACCAATTGCGCGTGCATAGGGTGAGCATCATGTGTATAAGGTTGCTACGCAACCCAAAAAAGGTTTCTCCGTCGTCTGTACTGATCGTCCATACAAATCGGCCCATCGTGCTTGTGGTGATGACTGTACAAATCGGCCCTTTCCCTAGGTCAGTTCTGTTTGGTTGACCCTGAGCGCCAGGGCCCTAGATATCAGACTTTGGAGTCTGATTCAGAGTCCGTTCAGACTTTTTTTTTGTACCTAGTCTGAACTCAAAGATTTTTTTTAGGCACCCTGTCTGATTTTTCAGAGTTTTTTTTACTGACTTGTCTGAAATTTCATACTAGTTTTAGTGGTGTAGGCTGAGCCTCAGACTTGTATCGGGGGTGCACTCTGAAACCGGTAACACAGGGTTTTGCGCCAGCCTGGCGGCGTGCAGCACTAATTTCGCCAGCGCGGCACTGCACAGTCGTGTTGGTTCAGAATTGCTGTAATCAAAACCATACCAATTCCAACCAATCGCGGCTGCCCAGCAGGCAGTGTTGGCAAGATTCCTTGCCAACACTTAGCTCGCAGCGCGCTGCACCTTCGTTTGACACCACGACCAACCACCACACCCCGCCTTGATTGCTCGCAGTGCGCTGCAGACATGTGAAAAATTTTCACTACAGGTGTAAGTGGAAAAATAGACTGCTAGTCTATAAGATCAGCGTTGAAATGTTTGTGAAGTCTGAACTTTCAGACTAAAAAAATTGGGTAACTCTGACAGCCAGACTAGGAATAGGGGAATACTCTGAGGCCTCAGACTAGCCCAAAACGAATCTAGGGGCCTGCTGAGCGCAGCCTTGGCTGGAATGGGATCTTCGTGAATAAGTACCTCCGCAATTCAAGCTACAAGCAGGAAGCAGGAGCAGGGATCCCGTGAGACTCAGCATTACGCAGAATATTTCGTGAGTCTAGCTTTCGACTGTGAACGTTACCACCAGAAGTCCGCAAGTATGTCTGGCCGAGGAAAGGGAGGCAAAGGCCTTGGCAAGGGCGGGGCAAAGCGGCACCGTAAGGTGCTTCGCGATAACATTCAAGGCATCACCAAGCCGGCTATCAGGCGTCTCGCTCGCCGCGGCGGCGTGAAGCGTATCAGCGGTCTGATCTACGAAGAAACTCGCGGCGTCCTGAAGGTGTTTCTTGAGAATGTGACGGAGCACGCCAGGAGAAAGACAGTGACGGCCATGGATTGTTGGAAACAACAAGTCGTAAGCGCCTCTGTCGTGTCGAAACACCGCACCAGAAGCGAAGTAAATCATAACGAGACACCCGCGAGTCAACCCTCGGAGGTTGAAAGTAACTGTTGGAGGTTACGCGAAAGTCAAAGGTCAGCAACCTTTGACCTGACAAATGCAGCGCGACAGCAAGGACACACAACTGACTCGATATTGAGCAGTTGCCCGAGTCGCACTGTATCGAACCGCAACAGCAAACAGTAAAATGGTCATCAGTCGTATCTCTTCGTATTCCTTGTACTCTTATATAAATCTTTGTACTTGCTTGCTTTAATTAACTTACTTTGCCCTCACATACCAGCGCAAGGTGGTTCAAATCTCTTCATTAAACGCTTCCGCTATTACATCATCTCTACCCAGAGTTTACCCTTGCAAAGATCCTAAGGGCTGTCTCAGCCCAACATGGTATGAGAGCTCACAAGGGAAACTCTTCTACTACCAAGTCATCACAAGACATGGCAACACAAAAGGAGAGGAGCTCTTACAACGGCTCCCAGGGTACTACACCTACTCCACCTCCTGCCTCTGGCCTACAGACAGAGGAGGGCACGGCAACAAGACCAGCAGCACCTTCAGCAAGTCAACCTGCCAGCTTCGACCAGAGCATGATGGAGAAGTTTTTCTCCTTCATGTCGTTTTACGAGCAACACCAGCATTCAGTACCTGCGCAATCGAACAACAGCAACAACAACAACGATGTGACTCCCATGAGTCTCGACGGCTCATCATACGCGCGAGGAAATCAACAGCAGCAGCCTACCTTTGCTCCGTACGAGCGCGGCTCCATCAGCTTCATGCCGCACCCGCAGCCTCCACCTGGACAAGAAAGACCACTGGACGCACTGCAAGTTCAGTCACAATTCGCGCACGTTTTAAAGCTGCAAACATCGAGACCTTTCGATGGAAAGGACTTCTTCACCTGGTCGTTCGAATTCGAGTTGATGATGGAAGGCGCACATGTCAAACATTATACATGTTGTATTTGTGTAGGCTGTAGTGGGTTAGCCTATAGGGGGGTCACAACATTAGGGTTTCATATTTGTACTCACAATCCCTGTTAGTTCATCATTCCAGTCCGTTATTTCTGACATGGTTTCAGAGCAGGTCCTTCGCTAGGACCGTTCTTAGGGCCCACCGTTACCTACATACCTACCTACCTACCGTGCGCCTCGTGCGCCTACGCGCCCTCGTGCGCCTCCTACCTACCGCGCGCGCGCAGCCCGCCAGCCGCCCGCGCGCGACTCGACTTTTTTTTAGCGCGCGTATCCCGCTAGCCGCCCGCGCGCGGTCGATTTCGCTGCGCGCGCCCCGCTAGCCGCACGCGCGCGGCTGTTTTCTTTACGCGCGGCCCCGCACGCTGCCCGCGCGCTGCCTGTGCGCCTCGCTGACGCGCCCGCTGCTGCAGCCGCCCGTCGCCCGCTCGCGCACACCCCGCCGTGGCCCCGCAGGCCCGCAGCTCGCCGCCGCAGCTGCCGCACGCCCGTTGCCCGCAGCCGCCCGTCCGCCGACGCCGCTGCCGCCCGTGCACCGACGCCGCTGCCACCCGTGCGCTGCTGCCGCTGCTGCTTGCGCACCGCTCGCCGCTGCCGCCCGTGCGCTGTAGGCGCTGCTGCCCTTGCGCCTCTGCAGCCGCCGCCCGCGAGTCGCCCGCTACCGCTAGTGCGCCGCAGCTCCTGCCCTTCGGTCGCGCACCGCTGCAGCTCCTGCTGTCGCGCTCCCTACTACTGCCGCTCGTGCACCACGCCGGCCCCGTTGACCCTGCGCACACCTTTCCAGCGGCCTTGTTCCTACTGCTACTACTGCTACCGCTACTATTCCTCCTACTACTGCTACTGTCACTATGGCTAGTCCTCCCGTTCTAGCTTTCGATGCCGAGGGCCGCCCAGTGAAGTTCGAAACCTGGCTAGATGACCTGCACCTGTTCCTACAGCTCACTGCCAAGGAAGATATCTCACTGTACGACCATGCCCTAGGCCATGCCACTGCCCCTGACTCGTCTGCTGACAGCACTCTGCGTTCCCAGTGGCAGACCCGTGATGCGCACACTCGCTTTGCTATTCGCAACTCCCTGCCGCTAGACGAGCGCGAGCACTTCGGCCAGTGCAAGACTGCTAAGGACCTCTACACCGCTGTAGTTGCCCGCTACTCCTCACCCGCTTCTGCCACGCTAGGCCGCCTCACTCTCCCCTACCTGTTCCCCGACCTAGCCTCCTTTCACACTGTCGCAGACCTCATCACCCACCTTAAGACTAGTGAGGCCCGCTTTCGCGCTGCTATGCCTGCCGAGTTTCTCACTAGCAACCCCCCCCCCGCTCTGGATCACTCTCTACCACATCGTCACCCGCCTCCCTGACTCTCTGCGCGCAGTCAGGGACCACTTCCTCTCTCGCTCCCCCACTGAGCTCACTGTTGCCCTCCTCGAGAAGGAACTGCTTGCAGCTGAGGCGAGCATCGTCGCTGTAGGCACCTCTCGTGGCGACCCCCGCACCCCGTTCTTTGAGGGGTGTTCCCCTTCCCCCCTCCTCCCCTCTGTCGCCTCTGCTGCTGCTGTCGACCTTCTCGGTACTGAGAAGGTCGGGACCGCGTCTGCTCCGAGCGGGCGCCGCAGGAACAAAGGGGGCAGGGGTGGGGGTGGCGGCGGAGGAGGTGGGGGTGGAGGCGGTGGGAGTGGAGGCGCGGCTGGGGAGACTAGTGGC